CCCTAATCCCACAGAACCAGATCCTAGATACACAAATTAGGGTTGGTCAGGCAGATTCTTCCTGCCATCTCCACTCGTGCCTAAGGCTTTTAATCTCAAGAGAATGAGACAAGACTTCAGGAAGAGTTCAGGAGTACTTCAGGGCATTAGAAGAATACGTATATTACAAGTCCAGTACTGGTAGGCCAGTTGCAGCATCTGCACTAGACTTTAATTACAGTTTGCTATTATCTCTTGATATTTTTGTTTTCCTAGCCTGCTTTTTCAGGCTTCCCAAGATTCTGAATTGCCTAAAGTTCCCAGGGATTTCTTAGATTCTGTGAGCAATATTTCTAATAAATTCCTTTTTTACTTAAGTTAGGCTTCATATTAATTATTTGCAACCAAGGACTCTGTTTTCGGATGAATTGTTTCTCCACCTCTCCCCCAAATTCATATGTTGAAGCACTAATATCCAGTACCTTAGAATGTGACTGTATTAGGAGATAGGGCCTTTAAAGAGGTGATTATGTTAAAATGAGGCTGTTAGGGTGGCCTCTAATCCAAACTAACTGGTATCCTTATAAGAAGAAGAAATTTGCACACAGAGACATTAGAGATAACTGCACAAAGGAGATAACCACATGAGGACACAACAAGAAAGCAGCCATCTGCAAGCCAAGGAGAGAAACCGCAGAAGAAACCAACCCTGCCAATCCTGTTCTTGATCTTGAACTTCTAGCCTCCAGAATTATAAGAATATAAATTTCTATTGTGTCGATTTAAGAAAGTTTAAACCTGTAGAGAATTTTTATAAAAATTTATTTGAGCAAGGACATGCCTGGAAGCAAGATCTCAACAGACTGAGGAAAATCCTTCTCAGTGTCAGTTTCTGCTTTTATGCATTTGGAATTAAGGAGAGAACATTAGGAGGATTATCTGAAGGTGGGACAAACCAAGGTGAGGATGGGATTATAGGGTAGTTAACTTCATTATGTGCTTTCTTGAGTGTGGTTTTGATTCTGTGGGGTCGGAAAAGAGCCATTTCAAAGACGTGTTAATCTAGGTGCACAAAAACAATGGACAGGTTTTGCTTAAGACAAAGATAAACCTTTTGCTAAAGAAGTTATATGCCTGGAGTGTTACTACCTACCCTGACCTGCCCAGTTAGGAATTTATGATCAGATCAGGGGTTCTGCAGAATGCAGGTTACTTTCCATTGAATTCTTTTGTCGTCCACAATTGTTTAAGTCATTCAGGTGGTGGTTTTTGTTATGGCAGCCCTAGCAAACTAATACAGACCCCGACTGATCAATGAGCAAACTATGCAGTGGGTATTGCTATTATGGTGACTAGAAGCAAGACTACTAGTTAATCTAAATAAATTCTTATAAAGACAAGACAAATTTGGGCATATAAGCTGCTGTTCCAATTTATGGGTTGAGGCAGTATATATTAGAAAGTATTTTGATTTAAATATTGAATGCTTCAGAATGCTTCTGATATGTAGGCAGTTTCTTTTAAGACATTTTTTTCCTCTCCAAAACAATAAACTATTACAAAAGATTTGCCAGTGATTCAGTAGAGCATATAAAATCTAACTTGTCAGTTTGAGTTTCAATTCTATAATTCACTTCAATTTACACTGACATAAAATTTTCTTAAATGAGTGACTTACATGGGCGACTTATCTGTTTCTATTTGAAATATTTCTTGGTGCTATTATGATGATAGTTGTTATGGTATTTGTCAAGAAATCAAGGTATACAATTTCCAAATATTTTTTGCCTCATCGAAGCTAAAATGATTTCCCATGATTCCCATGAATCACATCCTTTCCCTAGTAATAGCTTTCTGATGGTTACCATATCCCTTTAAATTCAATACAAGGAATTCCATGCTTTCTTCAGCTCAATAATGTCTGCTTTTTATATTATGCTATTTCAGTTTATACTCCCCATTTTAGGCTTGTCCTATTCTCCACCTCCACACCCTGCCTACCACTCTCTAATGCCTTAGGGCTTTTCATAAATAGTCTTAACGTATATAGTCCCAAACAAAAACTAGTCTAACTTCTATCTAGGTACCATGAATAGGAACTTCAGTGAGTCATCTTTGATTCCTTCTGCAACCTCCAAATCTAGTCAAGTCCTGATGACTCCACTTCTTAAATTTCTTTCAAATTGTGCCCTTCCTATCTAACTACTCATTTCAGGGCTACATCTCTTGCTTGAGCTATTGCAATAACCTCTTGTCCTTAATTTCAAGTCCTGATGACTCCACTTCTTAAATTTCTTTCAAATTGTGCCCTTCCTATCTAACTACTCATTTCAGGGCTACATCTCTTGCTTGAGCTATTGCAATAACCTCTTGTTCTTAATTTCAAACTTTCTCCCTGTGTTGCTGCAGGTTTGAGGTTCCATGGTAAGGGGTATTAGACTTGTGCACTTGAAAGAAAATACGGGGAGTCCTAGGCAAATGCACCATAGTTCTTTATTCCAGCAAGGGCACGGCCAAACGCACAGG